AATCGTTGCAGAGGTTATGCGTATACTGGTTCCATTTACGGCCTAATTGTTGAAGGCCTAAATTTAGGCGAATTTCGTGCTACGTAGTCACTTGTCCGCGCCACTGCCTAAGCAAAGTGGCATTAACACACCACATCTTGGCTCCTCCATCCTACGGCTATTGGTGGTGAGCAAGAGCTGGTGATAAAACGCAAAGTGTTCAAGCACATTGATCCCAAAAGCAATCTTCTGGGTTTGCAAGACAGCCACCAATGGCCTCCTCTAACGTGGCATAGCCGTTTGCAGGAAACCACGTACTGACGAGCTCTAGGAAATCGAAATACATTAAAGAACGCTCTGACAACTGTCAACAAACTCACCGTCTTGTGACAGGCATCAGAGAGAAGGCAAATATACCATCCATCTCAAAAATGGAACTTGTGCCAGAGGGAATTTCAATGCTACGTGACAATGCGCGCCCACCTCTCATCACAATCTGCCGTGTGATGTCACAAGACACTCAGCTACTGCAAAGACTTTAGCCCCACGTGGGTGCCACATTCTGGAAACACTCAGCGTCTTCAACGCCAGCGTCACAAATATATGGCATGTGTTAGTTATCTAACCTCATAGTCTGGGGGTGTATACTTTTCACATTTACAGCAAGATAAATTTCAATGCAACGACTTTCATGGGATGGTGAAGTGATAGCAGCAGTGTCTTGTCAGCTGCACCCTCGTATCAAATACCCATTACTTCAAACAGCTGCTGCGACAACGCAAAGCTGCTGCCTGAATTGGTGACATAACTTCTTTTCGCTGCATTCAGCTGTAGTGAGGGGTTGAACGAAGGCAGTGTCGTGCGATGCACAAAAGGCTCAACAACACAGAAGTTTCCTGTCAGGAAGTGCTAACAGCCAATGAATGTGCTGCTTTGACTCAGGAACGTGGCCACTGACTGCACTACTTCAATGACTCACCAAAAACGCGGTCTCCAGATTTCAGCTGACATTCTCCATGTCCAATGCACAACGCATAGACTATACCGCAGGAAAACCAATCAGACGCATTTGGTGTTATGGAGCACAAGTGGAATAACCACGGAAAGCTACAAGTACAGTTGGTGGTAAGTCCTGCTGAGGGTGAGAATGGTTGTCACCACAAAGTGCTTCAACTTCGATTACCCATAAATTCCCACCTTCAGGACTGACCTCCGAGCATTCTAGATAGTCTCAATCCCCCCCACTCCCTCCTGATTGGCCGATATCACGTATGATGCACCTTAAGTGCGCTGGGAATGGCCCCAAATCCAAGGTCAACCAGTTGCTGTGATTATGTGCAACTGTCACCACTGCATGTCACACCGAGTGTTTGCGGAATTTTCCAACAGCCGACCCCAAGCTGTTATACAAAATAACAAATTACAGCAAGTTGTAACCTGCTAAAAAGAAATTCCGACGCACACTTACTCTTCGATGCAGTAGGAACGCATGGCATGTGGCATTGCAGTTTGATGTGTTAGCTTGTGCTCAAAGTACCTCTAATTGTTAATGTGTTCTCGTTTGGATCAAGTTGGAGCAGCTACTTCACACTTCAGTGGTCATGTCAATTCATCCAGAGAAGGTTGTAGGAAGCTGACGCGTTATGCAAAGAAGATGCATCTTCACTGAAAAATAGGATGTAAATACTTCGGCAGTGACTGAACGGGTGCGAAGTGGGGCCACCACACCTCTCAAAATCGACGAATTGTAAACTAGATGAT